AGGATCTCAAACTCAAATGCGATCACCCGATATTGAGTCTGCTAGTGGCCGTAGCTCGACAGGAGAGTGGGCATCCGGCATCGTGGTTTATGAGAGGGTACCATGTAAGTCGAATTACACTCGGATCGAAAGGAACATGTTTTGAAAAAACACTCACCTACTTTTCCAAACATACCCCTGAGGGGATTTAAGTGGTCTGGTCTCGAGCAACTACCTACTATGTAAGGTAGGTAAAGTACCTGGTATGTAAATTTTCATTCGCCCAACCCCGTAGGGAATAGTATTTCTAGTTCTGGGCAAAGACCATCGTGATTGATTTTAGTGCGTAGCCATCCAATAGGGAAGAATCGAAATTGGATCCTGAAGTCGGCTATCTTGAAATTCCTAACGGAGGTGATAATAGGTACCCAATTATAATCTAGTACTTGATTGTACAAGTGCCGGGCATGAATACGAAAGGGTAAGGTTGTTTGCAGTAGCGTTACCAGCCTGTCAAAAGATGGCGCGGCACTAGGCAGTGACAGTGATTCCCATTACTCGCGGCGGTTACGAGGTGGATCTGGGTTCTCGTGGCGGAGTCAATATCTGACAACGCAGAGATTATACTAGAATAACTAGTACGAATAAGGTACACGGCCGTCGACGTCGGGTAGGCTAGGTAGGCTAGGTAGGCTAGGCTAGGTCGGCTATTTACCTAGGTACATGGTTGTAAATAAGCATTCCGGAGATATGCCCGCCACATCACCCGGCATAGCGGGCGGAACATACGGAAGGATGAAAAGGAGCCACCGGCGTGCAACTACGGAACATCGGATTGAAACTAGTAGCGGGCTGCATCTTAGATAGGTAAATGTAGACGCGCGGCGCAGTGCAGGGAATATTTTGTCCATTGACATTCTGGTCCCGGCCGGCAAGGCCGAAGTAGAAAAGCCGTGGATGTCGTCGTCATTGGCGAGATGGTTTAAGGAAGAAAAATTCGGGGCAGGCTTTTTTTGGTGGGTAGGATTGGTAAGATTAGATCATGGGAACATCGGCATGTTAGGTACATAGATACCTAATGTATTATGGGACGGATCTTACTTCGTAGATTGTGGATTGTATCGGATTGTATTGGTAGATTGGGTTGGAGAAAGCCCAAGAATGGGGGGGGGGAAGGGATGCTGTATCGTGTACTGATACTTATCTCCTACCTTAGGAGGTACCTAACAATGCAAGATGGAGAGTGGGGTTGATCTGGGATCTGGAAGGGATCTCGATTGGCAGAAATGGATGACTTGCTAAGCCACGTGGTGGCAAAGTACAGGTACTTAACCATCAGGTACCGCTAAAGGTGCTATAAGTGTAGTTATCTATATACCGAATGTTCCATATTATACCTATATACCTTCCATATCTTTAGGTATAATTCTATTCAACTAAGCTCCAACATGCACACATCTAGCGAGTAACAAAGACGCAGCCCTAAAGCCATGTTTCGTGACTCGCATATCTACCACAAGAAGCCCAAAGATGGTTATAAACTATAAACAAACATATAGGTTTAATATTAACTGGCATATAGGTAACTCCTCTTGCATGAGCCAAGAAAGAGATATGGGAAGCTCGAAGCGAGCCGAATAGTACGTGTACGCCCTACCCATCATAATAAATTTGAGTTGTCACCTATATTACCTATATTAATACTCGGGGCGTATAAGCCGAATGGGTTGGTTGAAACTTGACAGCAACATAGCTGCGTGTGTCTCTTTTTAGTTCGGCTCCCTAAAGTTAGCTCAAAGCTCCCCCGTTCGTGTCATGTTCGATATAGGATAAGATCGTCGCCAATTGATCTAAGAGTAAGTCAAGGATCGAGCCATGTCTTAGATTTGTACGAGGTGGGATGTGTAAAAAGAGGGACTTATAAGAGACAAGGCAATATAAGAGACACCATGCAGGAAGATAGTTGGGAAAGGAATACATGTAAGTGCATAGGATAGGGGCATAACAAGAGGGCTAGGCAGGTGGAAGCAAAACATTCGACTTCGTATCGTAGATTCTTTACGACTTGTAAGTGATTAAATATATGATTAATATTGAAAGGAACGATGATGAATTATGCATAGTCGACAAGTTGATAAGTTGACTAGTTGACTACCCTAGTTGACTACTAAAACCTAATCTCGAGATAGACACCGACATCTGACATCTGACATCTGACATCTAGCATCCCGTAAGTCATGATCTAAACTTAAACCTTCCCCGCGACGCATCTGTCGAAAAGACGAGATAAGCTTACTCCGACTTACCTTAAAAACATCGGACGAATCTTACGCGTGTCAAACTGTCCTAGAAGAAATTAACAAGGTTGAGTTTCAGGCCGGACGGAGTCCTGACAGAAACCTAACTCTGTTATCCAACCGGGAAAGACAGATCCAAGACCGAAATGGCTTGACAGCCGTCGAGATAAGAATAACCACGTGAAGCAGCCAACTTTGGCGAATTCTAATCTTCTATGAATAGGTACCTAAACTATTGTGTATAGGAGACCGTAACAAGCCACGTAACGCTGATTCATTCATATCTAGGAACCATTCGGCCCTTGGTCTATTCCATACCTAGGTACTTACACATCTTACTCGCCCCTAACGGAGAGATAATGCGTACCGTATAGTTTAGGTACATCAGAGGGTGAGATTTAAGATTTAGGGGGGGGGGGGGGAGAGATCGCATACCGATTGCAGCTCCTGGCCGATCTTGAGATGTAACTAACCCCTGCGGCGACAGAACGCACAAAGCAATTCGTGCCAACGCCCCTTGTGCGCCTCTACAAAGCTATGTAGTACTATGTAGAGCGACCAGACCAGTCCCGACGTTACATCAGACCTATTTTGAGATGGATGACAAAAAGTGCGGCTTAACGCACGGGGAGAAAATATTGGAGGGTGTGGCATGCGACTTGCCGCCCACCCGGCAAGAGGGCGAGTAGAGGTATGTATGTATGTATGTACTTCGTAGCTTAGTGGACTGTACCCGTCCTGTACTTTCGTCCTGTTCCTTAGAAACAACACGTCATGATGGGGTAGAGTGGAATAGAGAAATGATGGTTCTCGGCGTGAGAGTCGACGAAACACTATCTCTTCATTCCGGCCATAATCCCCCTCTCTCCCCCCCCCCCCCCCCTTTTTTTTTTTTTAATACCTGTAGAGGCTACGATCCTCCATCGGGATGTTTGACAGACAAGATCTAGTTTGGGGGGACTGTGCAGATCCCGCCTGGCCCTGCATCGCGGCGAACCTGATTTCATGCAGCCCCCTCTCTAGCGCATCCGGGGAACACATGTGGAACGGGTAGGTACCTAGCGTAGGGAGGGACGATGATGACCTGTCACCTCCGTCTACTATCTACTGATTGTTGGCCAAGCCTCTATTGCTCTCGCGCGCGTCTCCGTAGACTCCTATTCCGTCTTCGCGCATCCAATGCATTAGGAGCGAAGCGGGACGGAATGCAATCACCCTCACGTACATACATAGGTATATATATATATATATATATTTATTTATTTACATACATACCTACCTACCTACATACGTAACTTATAGCTATAATATGCTATGCCATGCCAACCACCGCAAGACCAAAGAAAGGAAGGGGGGGGGGGGCCTAGGCATATTGCGTCGAGGCGATGACGTGCGGAGGGCGACAGCGTCTCGTTGCAGCCACGTAGGGGAGCGGTCGAGCATCCGGTAGTATTATATATATGAGCCTCAGGCTCCACAACCTTAGCTGGGCGTAGGAAATCACAGCTGAGCAACTGCGAGCCAAGATTATTTCTTCGCTAGTGCTATAGTCTCGTTTTCCTGCCGTGACGCCAGCAGTAGTGGGTTCAGGAATGACTACCTAGCTCGACGGGCGAATGGGCTTCTTTCGCGTTTTCGTCCCGATCCTGTAGGTAGGCTTGCGACACGGTAGCCCAGAAGAGAGGGCTTGATGGCTTTTTAGTTTTCTTTGGCTGGACTACGCGGCCGTGTCCCATATGGGGAGGGGGGAGGGGGCCCGTCGTGGAAATGGTTAGCTGACGACTGAGTAGAGTTGCAGTGAAAGTAGATCTGCCTCGATGGAATATGATCTCGCGTTGATCCACAAGATCCTTGCCCGTTCATTTTTACCGTATATATATATATAATGACACTCTATATAATAGCCGTGTATATCTTTATGCGGGTATGATCGTGCCAGCCGCACGCGTAGACGCATTAGCAAGCAAAGGACCCTTAGGTCTCAGATCCATGTCTCACAAACCTACCTATGAGGTAGCCTCTAATTCGGAATTACCCCAGTGTTAGGAACTTTGATAGTTAAGGTAATAGGTACCTAAGGCAAAGCCACCGGGGTTTCTACTAGAAACCAGCTATGAATTCTCATTTTGTCCGGTCTTGTATCCTTAGGTACCTACATAGTGAAGCTAAGGCCTTGGTTACCTATCATACCAGCATGCGCATATAGCGACATCGGTTTAACGGTTCGAAGCGCATGTCATCAATCTGACAGGTCATGTCGCACGGCATCTGTGAAAAGGTCCCCTTCCCGCCGTATGGGTACCTCTTAGTAGCGGCAATCGCTTAGAGCGCCTCATCCAGATACATTCTTCTACTTCGTACCAAAGGTATCACCACGTACTACACATAGCAGGTACCTAGGTACCTTAGAAGTTACAGGAAGAGGGAAGAGGGGAGGAAGTTGGAAGATGATGCCAAGTATTTATGTATAAACGTATAAACGTATTAGAGCTACCGGATATAGTAGAATTAAGAGTGAGATAGGCTGAATAGATAGATACCTGTCATACGATTGCCTGCGTCGCGTACTACGTACAACAGGAGATTAGAAGGGCGCATAAGGAAAAGTAAGAGCGAGTTCTTTTCTGACTGCTTTGCTGATATTTACTGTGTTGCGATTATGCGTGGCTTTCTCTTTTGAAGCATTTAGCTGAGTAGCCGTGTTCTGTTCGATCACGACCACGACAACCCGGATATCAAAGGTTATGGTATTAACGTCTATATTTATACTAAGATTCCAGTAGGAATCCTATCGGGAATGCTACTAACGAGCTGAGTCTAGACAAAGTCGTCACTGTGGTACGACGGAGAGGTGAATAAGTCGGATCTTATCTACCAGACCAAAAGAGGACTCGCGTCACTATCTCTGAATATAAAGAGGGAAAATCGTATCCCTGTCTATCACCACATAACGGGTCGAGTTTTTTTCTTTTTGGTTTGCCCATGCCATCTCTTGGCTCATCGTACTTGCGCTGCTAAGATGCTAAATGTAACCTCCCATATATGTAACTCCACCAGCCAGTTCCCCATTGTCTGGATTTCATAAACCCACCCAGAACGTCAAATTGAGAAACAGCCAGACGCCAAACGATGCCCTGACGTGATCTCCCGAGTTCCTTTGCCCAGATGAGGGTATATACAACGAAAGTGACAGTAGCAACAATAGAACTGACTGAAAAGCGTAGCTCCGAATCGGGTATAATAATTAACACGTTATATGTTCCGGAGTAGGATACAAGTGCGATATTTGCTGATAGCTGCATGGTAAATCTCGGAAGATCGAGAAGGTAGATGTCGATGAAATTATTGACTGGTCATGTTCCAGAATAATGACCACACATCACCTTTGCCCTGCCCCTGAGAGGCTAGGACAATGAATTATTGTAATACCGCAGCTTTGGATTATTTGGATCAAAATCCGGATGCTGAACTTAAACGCGCTCTTCGACGGTTTTGGGTCGAATAGAGCGTTGCTCCATCTGGCGTTTCCTTTCGAGTTTAGCGTAATGAAGTCCGCATGCATTGCACAATGTTCTTGCACCGTCGGGTCCCCGTCGCCATTCTGGAGTATCAATTCTGTTGCAGCTATGACACCGACCAGGAGGTGCTGCACGCTATGACACGGTGAGTAATTTTAAATGTTAATTATGAGATGGACCGACTTACGCCTCGTCGCTTTTTGACCTCGCTAAGCCCGTATGGTTGTTTCATGCCATCGCCATACATGCTTATATCGTCATCCCCTTCGTACGGCCCCTTACCGCGACCTTCCCGGGCCTTTTCAGTCGCTAAACTATGTTGTACTATTTCTCGGAGGTTTTCGAGGGAACGCTTAATAAATTCTACATTTCCGAGCATGCTTGAAACCTCCTGGTCACTTGGCAAGCGTTCTGGGATGGGCTGCCCGCCGTGCTGCTCCGACGCAATCTTACTATACGCCTCAGCGAAATTGCAGACCGTTCTTGAAGTCCACACCAACTGCTGTATCCGTCAGCTACGACACAATGTAAAATCCAAAGGCGAAAGACTGACCTTGTTTAAACAATCCTGGTAGCCCCACGACTCAAAATGCCGATTTAGAGTAGCAGAATCATACCGGCTTCTATGCATCCCATACTCTTCATCGCTGTGAGGAGGTGGCCGTGATTGATCGTAAGGCGGCAAAGAAGGACCAAGATGATGAGGAGAGATCGGTGCCCCAGGTAGTGGGTATTGACCTGGCGGGTATGGAGGCGGAGGGTTCGCATGAGAATTTGATACCGATTCTGGCGGCTTAGCAGGATCGCGCTGCTCTTGGAACGCATATGTTGAATTTGGAGGCCCAGGAGGGCCTGGCGGTGGCCCGATATCTGATCGCTGAGGATAACGGAAGAACTTATCTTCATGTGCTGGCGGAACCGACCGTGATTCCGGTGGCGGCTCAGCTCTTAATGGGGGAGGAAGACTATGAGCACCGGCCAAGGTTGTAGGAGTCGGTGAATAATGACTTGGCTTGGCCCCCGAGAAAACTTCTGATATAGACGGGAGGGATTGCCGTTGGGCGGGTTCCACCTCATTCGGCGTTCTCCTACTCTCCCCAGGTGAAATCATGCCAGGCATCGGTGGCGGTGGTTGTTGATGGTAAGCGGGTGGAAATGGAGGCTTATGAGGATGGTATACGGGAGCTGGATTCATTAAAGCGGTGGCTGCCATCATTGGCACTTCGCGATGCCGCTCTGCTGGTTCTGGAAGTCGCTGGCTATACGTATCAAGTCTGCTAGCGGAGGAAAAACCACTGGATATGAATATATTGATCAACTTGAGTTCGACAAAACGATGCCGGGCGCGCTAGAGCGAGTAGCTCCAGATAAGAACGGACCTTTGCCTAGTGCCAGATTCACCCGCTTCCATAGCGGGACTACTACCAATGGCGGTGCCAAAATATCCAACAGATCAGCTAGGACGGCTTATGCATCTAAGCTGGCCGGGGCACTCGCGGGTGCGAAGTAAGTAACCCTAATAACAACCCTGCGGTTGAACTTTCCGATGTCTCAAGAGCTGTGTGGATGCGAAACTAGGAAGAGGACAAAGTCGATTCGGGATGGTTTCCGTGACACGATCCGAGTTCACGGCAAGCCTGAAGGAGTACTCTCTAGAATGATACGAATATATACGGAATAGCAGCGCAAATATGTTTTCACTATCTTTAGATCCCGTTTAGTTAGAAAGGCTCAGGTGTAAGTAATACAAATATAGTAGGGCGGGAAGAGTGATTATAATAGTGTGCCGTCTTTCTTCTTTGCCTAGACGTTAAGACAAGAACGTCTGGAATACGACACTAAATCGAATCACCACGAGTAGTGGCGGCACGACTTTTGCCCTTAAGACATTCTTAGAAACAACTCTTACCTTAACCACTAAGTGGGTCTGGAATATAGCCCGAAGACGATATTCTGCTTTTGATCTTCGGATACGTGTATCGCTGTGGACGTCTCGCTAATATACTCCGTCTCAGATTCCCGAGTAGTTGATGTTGCTTCTGAAGGGTGTCCTCCTCTTAGTTAGGTAGTCTAAAATATATCGAATGTTGCAACAGGGCTTCCGGGATACTGTATCGTACAGAAAATAGAACAGATGGGTAAAGTATCCAGCAGGATTGGAGATGACGTCTGTCTATGGTAGGACGCGGTAAGCGAACCAAGATTTCAGAGTGTCGATATCTTCGGGGTTACTTAGTCGTGACAATCGAATGGGGAGGAAGAGGAAGAGGAAGAGAAGAAAAAGGTTCGAAAGTAATGACGAAAACGCAGGCGACGTGTTGTAGGTATTAAGAGACTTCAGGTTCAGAGAAATAAGCACAGCAGATTGGAGCGAGATGTATGCTACTACAGTATGATGTACCATACATATGTAGATGGGCAAATAAACTATGCGTAACTAATAAGGAACACTAACCTGTGCACGTACATAACCCAGGACACCCCTGTCTGGCCATTCACTACCTCAAGGTATGTATCATCTGTACACTACGTGCAGCAACCACAGTATGGTACGGAGACTTCGACCTTGGCTGCTTGGGTCGCTTGAAGTGGGGGAGACGGGGGCACGAAATATGTAGTCAGGACAAGGGTAAGAATCTACAAGTCAGGGCTTCGCAGCCAGTCAGTTGGTACGGCGGACCTTGGCTTCTGTCAGAATCCTAGAGGTTAGGGAAAGCAGAGATTGCCTGAGATTCTGAGCCACTCTGCCACTCTGCCACTCTGCCACTCCCCTTCCCCCACCTTCAACTCTGAGCCTTCAACATCGCAGCCAAAACCTCGCAGGCTCATCGAAAAAGTGCTGTGGCTGCGGAGATAGGCGTGGGTGCAATCTGGCAATACCCGGATAAGAAGGCACATAAAAGGGTAGAACGACCACGTTCAGATGCTAGTGATATGGTCGGCTATGATGAGCTGGGAATAGTTAGATGACGATCTTTTGTTTTTCAAACATTATGGTAGCCCCAGTTGTATGGGACTTGTGGGCGAATCTGAACGCGAACGGATCGCTCCCGAAGGCCCAAGTCTTAGGGACCAATACAATATAGGTATAGCACCTGGCTTGCGTAGGAATAGCGAGTCCCGAAACCTGTCAGGTCACGCCATTATCCTCACAGCGAAATAAGGTGGCACCACTTTTTAGCAATCCAGGGCTGCGTACGGATCCGTATGTAGACATGTAGACGGGTTAGACGGTGAAGGTTACGGGGCTCTTTGGTGGCGATGGGTCCATCGACTAGCATCTCTTAACAACCTTTTGGCAGCTCAGATCGAAGATGAGATGGCGGTAGACCCTAGAGGATGACCAGGGGAGGGGTTCCGCAAAGGGAGTGTGCCTGATTGGGGAAGATGGGTATGATTCGGTATGCCTAGGTACGCCTAAGGAACCCGACCATCATGACGATCTCTCGGTGACAATCCGTAATCCAAGAAGGATGCGGATGTTTTAGAGGAGTAATGGCACCAACTGGAAATATGATACCATAGTGTGTGAGATGTAGATAATTCGGAATCTGCTGATAATCTAACTTACATCATACATCTAATGCAGAATTTCGAGTCGAACAACTTTGTTCTTGGGCGACGAAGGACCTGCGGGTACCCTATTGACCTTGGTAGATATGTACAAGGTTCTAAAGGAAGCTGCAGGCGAGCATCATTGCTTGTTCGGCGAAGAAGAAGAAAAAATTTTGTAAGATTCGGAGACATGGGGTGTGGACATGGGGATGGGAAAGACGGGGTTTAACGAAGAGAGAGCATGGCGAGCGAGCATGGCAGTCGTCCACTGTTGCATGGGCTGAAGTTACCTATTATTACCATTATTACTACCTTAGGTACCTAAGGTTAGGTACATTACATAGGTACATAATTTAGGTGTACAAAGATGTAGGTACGTTAGGTACGTTAAGTACGTTAGGTACATCAAGGTACCTTAGCCACATGTATGTATTCCGTAGATGGATATCCAGATGGATCTCTACTAAAAATATGGGTCTTTATGGGTCGCTCCTTCGCATGGGTTTAGCTGTCCACTGCAGCAGTCGAAATCTACACTACCCTTTACTTTAGTCTGGTGGAGAAGGTTGACAGGAACCAGGTATGGCCTTGCTGCAAGATGCCGAAAGTGCATGTACACTTGGAGTACCGCTCGATCCCTTTTGAGGCTACACCTGAACTTTTTCTGTTTATTTTTTTTCTGCCTACGTGTAATATATTAGCTATGCATGCAAGTACTTAAGACGCATCTAAGTTTACATATATATAGGTAGGTACCTACCCCCTACATATGTACGTTCTTAACTTAGCCTGTCATGTGTTTCTCTATGCGTTTCTCGACGAATCTATTTTCTTATTTCCATTCTAATACCGCTATCAATCGTGATTATCTCTTAAATCATTACATAGTAATATAGAAATAATGTAGTTACACTACACTATTAAGCCCAAAACGCCCGACGCCGCGCATTAAAGATTCTAGATCAAACACGTATTCATTTATTTTATATGCTACAACTACATTTGCTTATGAGGGAGCATTTAACTTGCGGTAATTAAGAACTAGGTTGCAGCCGGACATATGATATCTACCTTAACGTAAAGGTAAAACCCCGTGTACCGTATAAATATCCTTAATCCGGTTGAGATAAAGCCTTGCCGGAATGCTTTTGTGGGTCGGACGGGCTCAAGCTTTTCATGGAAGTCTTCGAGTATGTTCTCTTTCAGACACATTCGCGGGAAACAATCCAAGGTGATGAGGAGGTTCGCTGAGGAAAATCCCCGGTGTGTGTATGGGCAAGATTAAAATCAGATCAGATCAGATAAATCGTAGATTGCGATAACGTTTATGTAGTAAAAGTGCTATTTAAGATATGTACTTCCAGCATACATACATATTTAAGTACCTAGGTACCTAAGTATAGAACATACATCTTGAACATTGAGGTTGACAACTTGTGTTGCCCGCTAAATCCTGCCTTTTTTTTCTGTTCGTTTTTTGAGACACAAGACGCATATTGAAGTAGATACATACATATGCAACCGTTAGGGTCGGGAATACATATCGGAAAATACATCTAAATATTAGAATAGGTACGTACCTCCCGTAGCGTACCTACATGTAAGAGGTACATGTATATGTACCTAATATAACAGGTAACTCGGTATAACAATTCAAATACATTTGCATTCAACCTTTACTTGCGCGCCATATATCGAAATATATTTAACTCTTACTCTTCTACTCCAGCCTTTTTTTTTCTTTTATTAACTCATACCAACCAACCATCAATGTTATTGCCGATAGAAGCTAACGTCATCTTGTTGCGAATACATGATGATAAATATATGATAATTAATACCTAAGGCATCTCTCGCTGCTGTTGTTGTTATCAGCCAATCCAAGATCGCCATTCCATCCCGGGGTTTCGGTCAGATTTGGAGAACCATGTGGACAAATGGTTCGACTGCGGTTAGCGTGCAATTAATCGATCAGGACTCGTTCTCGGCTAGATTGCCTGCGCCCCCATGCTACTAAACATTTTTTTCGGAGATCTCGCATTCAGATTGGCTTGTTTCGACAGATTAGCGACCGATACGCTGAAAGGTAACTTGATGAGTTGAACCGCCCGGCTGGAATCAGTAACGGATATTTAGAACACTTGGGTATGTATGACACATTCCATTAAGACGGCTTTGTTGTGCTTCTCTACTTAGGTAGACGTGTCCGTCTGTACGCTGTCGCGAGCATATTACCGTGTAGGCTATCGATGCCGGAAAATTGCGTCGAGTTGGAAATTTAACAAAAGTACAAGTCAATTCCCGAGGTATTGGTCCTGCATCTCCGCAGTCGAGTCGAGACTTATCATCAAAGATCTCTAGACTCAATAAAGCTAAAGTGCAAAAGACTTAATATCAGTCATAACATTTCTCTAATATTCCGGATACTTTTAAACGCGCTACTATTTTGAGCATAATTCATTATGCGAAATACCTGCAATGACTACGAGTTTTCGCATCACAATGCGTACCTTAAGGTAATTTGCCGGCGTTGTACACGACTGCGATGGGTCCCAATTTACATGCTACTTGGACCAAATTGCTATGCCTATGATACCCCCCGGGCAGGCAAATCACACTCGCGTGTACATTTTTCTTGTT